TGTCTGTCAGCAGCTGAGTAATGTCCTTGCACACATCCTGGTTCATAGAGCCAAAGTTACAGAGAGATGTTGGACAAACAGGCTTGAGATTGTTTCTAAGCTGGACATGTGAACTATGTCTCCTTCCCCACTGACTTTCCTACAGCTTGAGTAACACTAGACACAGATCTGTGGGGAGTCAGTAAATGCTTGTCGGAATTTAGTTCCTGTCTTACGGTGTTCAAGAAAGAAATTTGGAAGATGGGGATCGAGGATGCTTTCTGGCACCTCGCTGTGTCCCAGTAAAGTGAGACCTCCACTTTATGGTAAAGTAGAGGTAATACTTCTCATCCCCACCTTGTGAATCTGGATGAGAATAAAGCCATTATACACATGAAAGCACTTTGAAAAGTAATGAACATAATGCAAATGACTGTATCATCTATTCCTATTAAAAAAGAGAGAGAGATGCTTGTAATGCAGATCACCTACTGCCATCTCTTGTAAATGCTTGAATCCTGCAATGAGTTTTTAAGATCATCTCTTGATTGATGGCTCAGATGATAAAAAATCTGCCTGCAGTGCAGGAGACCCAGGTTCGATCCCTGGGTTGGGAAGATCCCCTGGAGAAGGGAATGGCAAGCCATTCCAGTATTCTGGCCTGGAGAATCCCATGGACAGAGGGGCCTGGTGGGCTACAATCCATGTGGTCACAAAGAGTCGGACACGGCTGAGCAAAGAACACTTTCACTTTCACTTCATGATTAAACTAAAGTTATGCTGTTTACCTAGTTGTCATGAAAAAAATAAACTGATATCTGGTAACACTTGAGTCAGCAGAAATTATTCCTCAGTAAAACACATCTTTTTGCCAAACTGAGGTGCCCAAACTCTTAGTGTTATTGTGTTCTATTTTTAAATTTTTTCATTATGGAAGCATCCTAACAACATATACCCTCCAAATCTAGAAAAGAGTCAAGTTAAATCACTCATACTTTGATTACCTTAACTGCTGGGTTTTTTTTGTATTCTTTTCCCAAGTTTGAAGCATCTTTTTAAAATGTAGTAATTATAGAGCTTCTGCATAGAGTAATTATGGGCTTCCCCGGTGGCTCAGATAGTAAAGAATCTGCCTGCAATGTGGGAGACCTGGGTTCGATTACTGGGTTGGGAAGATCCCTTGGAGGAGGACATGACAACCTACTCCAGTATTCTTGCCTGGAGAATCCCATGGACAAAAGGAGGTTGGTGGGCTACAGTCCATGGGGTTGCAAAGAGTCGGACATGACTGAGCGACTGAGAATACACACACAATTATAGAGCAGCAACAGTGGGATCATAGTTTTTCATTGGTTTTTTAATAAGAAGTATTTTTTCATGTCTTTGCATCACCATCGATTTCAACAAACTAACCAGTAAGGCATGTAGTAAAAGAGAAGAAAATTCTCTAAAAGGAATGGCTCTGCTCTTTCACTGGGGCCTCACAGCTGACCAGAAAGGAAAGTGAGGACACTGGCTATTCAGGGGTGCTGCCTGCTGGAAACCTACTCCACCAGCGCTTTCCCTGCCCCTTGTTTTGTGAGTCACTCCTGACTAGGGAAGTGCAGCTAAAAGCTGCATTCATTTCTGTCTCCTCCTCTCAATCTTTAGACCCTGTTGCTTAAAATACCAGCAAGCCTCAGGGGAAGGTTTACCCCAGACTGTCCCAGTTTTAGCCTGCAAACCCTGCATCCTGGGAACCTCCTCCATCCTGGGCAAACTTGGACAGCAGATCACCCACCAGGAAGAAGTGGGCGAATGTGTGCACATCCTTCATCAGTGGCCAACCGGCTGGGGCTCAAGCCTTGTCCTAGCACTTCTCTGACTCTCAGGGTGTGGGTGGCCAACACGTGCCCTCTGACTTCAGGACCACCCACCCCTGTGTTACACCCACCTGGCTTCTCAGCTCCCTGTCACCGGATCTGGGCTCTCTCGCCCACTCACCCAGCCCTGGAGGCACCCAACCGGGATATTCCTGTGGGGGCTGAAGAGAGCAAATATGACATTCAGATAAAAATGGCAGCTCTGAAATTCTTACATTTAAGGCAGCCTTAGATGTCAGCTCGGAAATCACTTCGCTTGATCGTTATTAGTCTGATTTCTTTTTGTTGTTGTTGTTATATTTGACTTAGGTGCCCTGTAGAAGTTAAAAATGTTTTCCTTGCTTTTTTGCAAAGGAAGAATTTCCACTTGCCCCGCAAAGTAGGCCTTCTGCACATCACATGCATGCACAAAATTATGCAGTCCGGCCCTTTACTTCCTTACTCTGCAGACTTTGTACTCTTATTTAAGGTGAGTCTGGAGAACAACAGAAATGGCTCAGGGATGGGCTTTGTTTCTGTTCAGTTCAACAGATGTGTACGTATCACTCTGTTGTTGCTGTAGCCTGTGGATTTTGCTATCATCCCTCAAAACTGAAGATTCAAATCTATTTCAATAAATGCCCTGATAAAGTAAGGTCGCAAGTGACACTCAAGGTAGAGGCTTCACACAATGGTGACCAAGAGCAAAAGTGGCTAGGTACACTTGTGTGTGTGCTAATCAGCATCTTTTCATTGATTTCTAGCAGAAGAATTACTTTATAAAAGACTGTATTCATTAATCAGCTATAATCAGCCCTTCCTAGAATGGTGAAGTATTTAAGCCTTGTTTGCTGGTACAGATCATATGTAATTGTTTCCATATTGTTGGTAAAACAGCTGTGGAGTTTTGCATGGGCCATAAGTACTCAAGGTCTTTGAGGCAATTTCTTTGTATAAACAATGCAAATTTTTATCGCTATAGTTGAATTTTTTAAATAGGCTTTAAATCCATCAGGTTTTTTTTTTGAGGGGAGGGGTTCTTCATAGGAGAGTAGAGGTGGTGATGGTGACTGAATAACATGAAAGACCCTGTGTTCTTATAGGGGAGGCCCAGGGCCCTTTCATCTCAGGCTGAATCCTGGCCCACTGCTGCTTGAGGATTTGGAGTGTGTAAAAGTCCTGGGCTTTTTAATTATGTGTAAGCCTTTTAAGACGCCTGTACCAGGAGAGCACAGATGGAAACATATGCAGTGTAACATTTTATATCCAATTTGAGGATTCGACCAGAGGTCCTGACTTGAGTCAAACCAGAGCTTCCACATAGATGAAAGGTAGCATGGAGTTGAAGAAAATCTCTTTGTTGGTGGTGGAGTGACAATACCTCATGAGAATCAACGATTGCAAAAAAATAGCCTAAGAAGAATAGAAAACAAAAGGGGAAATTATTCAGATCTCCACTGGCGAAATTAATCAACTCGATTCCTTTTTTAAAAGTTTTGTTCCATATTTGTAAATAAATATATCAATTATATATATATAATAATTGTGACATATGTTTGGGATTCGGCTTTCTTTTTTCATTTAACTTTTAAAACTATTTTTGTGTTTATTTTAGTATTTATTTTGCTGTGCTGGGTCTTTATTGCTGCTTGGGCTTTTCTCTCGTTGAGGAAAGTGGGGGCTACTTCTAGTTACAGTGCTCAGATTTCTCTCCGTGATGGCTTCTCTTGTTTGGGAGCACGGGCTCTGGGGCCTGATAGCTTCAGCAGCTGTGGCTCCTGGGCTCTAGAGCACAGGCTCAATAGTTGTAGCCGATGGGCTCGGTTGCTCCACAGCATGTGGGATCTTCCTGGGTCAAGGATTGAACCCATGTCTCCTGCACTGGCAGGTGGATTCTTTACCACTGGGCCACCAGGGAAGCCCACCATTCAGGTTTCATACTTAATATTATATGATAAGTATTTTCCACACTGCCTCATGGTTTAGTCAGACAGTTGAAGTGGCTTTGCAATATCCCATAGAATATCTGTACCATGGTTATTTAGCTACTCACTAATATGGAACATTTAGACTGTGTTCAAATGTGTGTTTATAAAAATTCAATGCATATAGTTAATGTTTTTTCAGTTTCTTTTGGTTTATTTTCATAGAACTTATTCCACAAACCGGGATTAACTGGGACAAAGAGTCTCAAGATTTTAAAGTCTTTGCATTAAACAGTGACTGTTGCTTTCCTGAAGAGTGGTACCATTGTACACTATCCCCAGTAGCTTCACAGCATTGGGTATTATCTGAATTCTTGTTCAAGCAACTAAAACGTTTGGGAAGAAAAGAGTTGCCTCAGAGTTTCCCCTACAGTACCCATCAACTTGGCTTAAAAATGTATTCTAGGCATTTTGAAGGACATTCCTCATTGTTGACAAATGGCTATCATATTTAAGAATGGAGGCCTTTGGAAGGACATGGCAGACATTGCTGCCTCCAACAAATAAGAGACTTGAGGCACCTGCGTCTATCTGTCTGCCTCAGAAAACTATAGTTGCTACTGAAATGTAGGAGGGGAAAGGAATATGGATTAGCATCAGCTGACGGAATTCCCAGCTTGCCAGCTGCTGCAGGGCCTGAAAGTGAAGATAATGAAATGCAGGCTTCATGAAAGTCCTAGAGTGTAGTATTCCTTAGTTCCACTGAAATGTGACCACAGTCTTCTTCCCTCACATGTTACTGCTAAGTCACTTCAGTCGTGTCCGACCCTGTGCGACCCCATAGACGGCAGCCCACCAGGCTCCCCCGTCCCTGGGATTCTCCAGGCAAGAACACTGGAGTGGGTTTCTTCCTTCACATAGCCACAAGTAAAACCTAAAGCGCCAGGTAATACAGCACAAATGCTTTTGCATTTGTAGAGGTATACACAGAGGTATACATGAAGATTCCTATGAAGAACCAAACTTTTGGAAGAATGCAATGGTTGAGACAAGGTTGAGTTTATTTCAGGTTGTTGGTATTTGTAACCAACTGGAAGAAAATGACCCTACTGAGTTCCTGGGCTGGCCTCTCTGAGCAGTACATCAGAGGAGCTTACATCCCCTTTTGTGTCTCATGTGCATTATCAGTACCTAGACACACGACTGGCTTCCCCTGCTGAATCCTGCATTTGCCCATGGCTTAATTTCTTTTCAGGTTCTAATCTACAATGGCCAACTGGACGTCATTGTGGCAGCTTCCCTAACAGAGCGCTCCTTGATGGCCATGGACTGGAAAGGATCTCAGAAATACAAGAAGGCAGAAAAAAAAGTTTGGAGGATTCTTAAATCTGATCCTGAAGTGGCTGGTTATGTACGGCATGTGGATAACTTCTGTCAGGTATGAAAATGCTTCTGGGCATGCATATTGTGGAAATGGGATGGTGGGATTGAAACTGAAGCCTGAGAGACTTCCTCAGTGATCCATTGGTTAAGACTCCATGCTTCCACTGCAGGGAACACAGGTTTGATCCTTGTTTGGGGAACTAAGATCCTACATGTAGCTTGGCATGGCCAAAAATCAAGCAATAAAACAGAGGGTATATACAAGAGAAATTAGACTTATGGGGAAAAAAGCCTGAAAACCCATGAAGGCATGGTCAACCTTAAGCAAAGACGTACAACAGCCAAAATACATGTCCCTCCTCTCCACAGAGAAGGATGGTCTCAGTTCATATTAAAATACAAATACTCCATGTTAAGACAAAAGTTGACAGACACAGGTGTAGGTATTATTTAAGAGATAAGGTGGCAATGAAAAATATAAAGTCTGTGTGCTTAGCTGCTGAGTCATGTCTGACAATTTGCGATGGACTGTAGCCCCCCAGTCTCCTTTGTCATGGGGATTCTCCAGGCAAGAATACTGGAGTAGGTTGTCATGCCCTCCTCCAGGGGATCTTCCCAACCCAGGGATCAAACCCAGGTCTCCCACTTTGCAGGAGGATTCTGGTGGGCTACAGTCCATTGGGTCACAAAGAGTTGGGCATAACTGAGTGACTAACACACACATTTTCATAAATAGTTAACTCTAAAGTCAGATTCCAAAATATTGGACAAGTGGATGCTCTTCGGTTGCAGAAAATAATCTGGACTTAATTTTTCTTGTCTGTTTGTCCCTAAAAATTTTTAAGTTTTTTGAATTGAATTCAAAAATTTTTTTAAAAAGAAAAAATCAACAATTTCAACACCTGAAATTGCATTTTAACTGATGCTTTTGTACACAGGTAAAATTTTGTACATAATTTTAACAGTGAAATGTGAGATTGATTCTGCTTTGGTACTTTAAAAAATCTTATTGAGTTATAATATAGAAAAGTTAACAAGTCACAGAACAGGTAAATGAAATTTCACAAAGTGAGCATATACATGTGACAGTCACCTAAATAAAGAAATAAAATAGAACCAATGCCTGTTGCCCCACAGTCACTACCCCCTCCTCTCCAGGGTAACCACTGTCCTGACTTCTTGTGGCCTAGATTATTTTTTGCAAGTTTTTGAATTTTTATAAATGGACACATTCAGTTTGTACTCTTTCCTGTGTGGTATTTTTGCTCAGCTTTATGTTCATGAGATTTACATACTCTTTTTTATGGCAATTTGATCCTTTTTCCTGGTATGCCTAAGAGTTTGAATGTCAGACATTAAACAAGTCAAGTTATGGAGAGTTTGAATTTTTGGCTGATGATATTTACCTTCAAAGAGACTTTGCTTTGCTTCTGTCAGGCAATTAGAATACAGACAAGTACCTTTATCAAGTCTGGAATTGAGTGTATTTAAAACTGTATTTTAGCTGGCCTATCTCCATGGCCCTAAATTGACATTTGTGGTATTAACCAGGGGCTCTACCCTTTGGCAGAGCACGAACACCAATATTTGTTTCCCAAAGCTCCTTTCAAGTTTCCAGTCTCTTAACTACCACTTTATGCTTGGTTTTGTCACCTCTTGGCCCCTGAATCAGCCATTGCTTTGTTGCAGACAGGGTCAGAGAATGTCACACTCAGCTTGTTGCGCACATGTGCACGAAGAAACCTTACCCTTAGTCTCTGGAACCTGTCAATATGTTGTATCCTGTGGAAAGAAGGAATTAAGGCTACATATGGAAATAAGGTTGCTAATCATCTGACCTGGAGATGGGGAGATTATTCCGGATTATCCCGATCAGCCCAATATAATCACAAAGATCCTGATAAGTGAATGAGGGAAGAGGTGAGTCAGAGTTTTGAAGGTGCTGCAGTGCTGTATTTGAAGGAAGGGCCATGGTCTAAGGCATGCAGGCCGCCTCCGGAAAACTAGAAAACACAAAGAAACAGATTCTCCCCTAGAGCCTCCAGGAGCAAGGGAACCCTGGCAGCATCTTAGTCAGCTTGCAGCTATCTGCAAGCAGGGAAGAGAACCCTCACCAGAAACCCCATCAACTAGCACCTTGATCTTGGACTTCCCAGACACCAAAACTGTGAGAAATTTCTGTGGTTTAAGCCACTCAGTCTACATTAGTCTCATAGGATTATTGAGGGCACTTAGTAAGATAAGCAACTTAAAGCAGCCCCTGACTCACAAGAAATATTTGCTAGTATTATTACATTACTGTGGATCACTTATAAGGATGTATATAACAAAAGGGGAATCATAAATAGTAAAAATCAAGATCAGAGAAAATGTTTGATATTTTCCCTTAGAGGAAATCAACCCTTAGAGGAAAGTTGGGATATTATTGTTCAGATTATTAAAGGCAAACACGCATGCCGAGTGGCCAGGGCATAATGCTGGGCATGTCTTTGCCCCCATCTGCTGCACTGCTTTATGATGAGAATCCCACCAGGCACACTCAGCATGTCCTCCACAATTTCTGATGGCTGCCTCAGCCACCTGTTATCTTATGTCCCCCAGACCAGCATTATGAATGCCTCCGTGTCCTGCTCAGCACCGTGCATGGGATGCCCAGCTTGGGGGGGTGAGACTGGGGCTGCAGGGCGGCGTGGGCCTCAGAGGTGGGAAGAGGCATGTTGACCTTCACTCGGAAACTTGTGGCAAATATCACACTGAGCCCGCTGACTCTTCTGGTGAATGCAAAACACATTGAGAGATGAAATGGCACTCCTCCGACTGCCAAAAACTGGGTAACAAAAGAAGCGAGGCCCACATATGTTTGTGATAGAAGTGTTTTACCGCACGGCGAGGGAGCTGCATTTTATGTAGGTGATTTTACAACGCTGGCAGCACTCCTCTCCCCTAATGCCTCCACGTAGGATTGGGGGTGGCTTGTGGAGGTGGGGGAGGGCGGGCAAGAAGGGTGGAAAAGAGCTCCGATGTTCACAAAGGCATTCTCTGTGGATTAGGGGTAGCGTTCAAATATCAGGCATCTGATAATGAAAAAAACGGGCTTCAGCCACGGACACAGCTTTTTAGCATTTGACACACAAAACAGAAGCATGTGTCTGTGTCTGCCAAGAGAGAAACCTCGCTCTCTGCCAAACTCCACAGCTCTTAATTTAAAAATTGAAACCAAAGTAGACTTGTCTCTGAATGGTCCCTTAAAATGTCCACTTAGAGGAATGATGGCTCTCCCAGGAGAGTGGCAAGGTGCTGAGATGAGGGAGCATTTCTCCATCAAGGGATGCCTAGGGAAACCAACCAGCTCCTTCCACCCCTCAGAGATCAGATGAAGAACAAGTCTTCGGGTTGCCCTTTGCTGCTCTAGCTGCTTCTCTCTGAACTGTTCTAAGAATCAGACTCTCTTGTTACATCATCTGCGAAGTAATGGGCTTTTTCAGCCTCAGTTTGTTCATCTGTAAATTACAAGGTTTGAACTGAGTTATTTCTAAAGTGAAAGTGTTAGTCATTCAGTCCAACTCTTTGCAACCCCATGGGCTGTAGCCTGCCAGGCTTCTCTGTCCAGGAGATTCTCCAGGCAAGAATACTGGAGTGGGTTTGCCATTTCCTTCTCCAGAGGATCTTCCCTCCCCAGGGATCGAACTCGGGTCTCCTGCATTGCAGGCAGATTCTTCACCATCTGAGCCACAGGGAAGATATCTTTAAAGAAAGATCTGAAATAGATTTTTCATTAATGTCCAGAGAGGCTCAGTTTGCAAGCATTATAGAATAGATAGTGGCCTTCGGGGGGAGAGAGAGAGAGAGAGAGAGAGAGAGAGAGAGAGAGAGAGTGTGTGTGTGTGTGTGTGTGTGTGTGTGACTCAATAGCATTACAGCGTAGATCAGAGGTATAATCCTCTCTCTGCTTGGCTGGTGACAATCCATGTCCATCACTGTCAAGACCACCCTGCTGGCCCTTTTGGGGTCTTTCTCTGCCTTTCTTCAGATGTCTCAGCTGCTGGTCATGATCTGTTTTGATGTAATCACTGCTTTTGAAATGCAGGATGTTTTTGTTCTTACATCATTGAATCATCAACTCCAAACATGCCAAGATGCCACATTTATAAATATAAAATTTTCATCAGAATAATAACACTGATGAACTCTTTAAAAACAGCTTTCTAGAAAAAACTACATGAAGCAACATTTTCTGGGGGAAAAAAGCGTTTTTTTATATCTTTATTTCACTGAAAATATTTTTATGGAGAATAATTATTTTTCATGTAGAAATTAAAAGGAAAACATGAGTCAGTTTTCATTCCTGTGCAATCATAGTGAGCGTAGTTTCTTCTACCATGAATTTTGCATTATTTCCAACAAGTCTCTTTTTCCTGATTGCAACTTGAGATATCATAATTTTTGTTTTCATTATCAGTATCAGCTTAGGTTATTCAATAAATGCTTTTCTGTATCCTGTAGGTAGCATTTTCCAGCTGGAGCAAATTTTGGATCTCACTTTCCAGGTGGAGAAACTAAAGCCTGGAGGTTAAATGACTGTCCCAAAGTCCCATACCCATTTCATGTCTGAAATTAGATTCGATTTCAGGTCCCCTGGCTTCCAGCTCAGTAGTTTTCTACTTCACAAGGGCACCCACCTCTGGAATGATGGATTGGCAGCAGTAAGCTAGTACGCTTGAAACTGGAACCTGCACGCACATCTGCCATAATTAAAGCAGGCCTGAGAAAGAATGTATTTTACTTCTAGTGTTAATTCTTGAGTTACATACATGTGCCTTTCTAAAGACAAAGTATCAGGGATTTTTTTAAAAGGTAGGTGGTGCTTAGTAGGTGGTGAGGCAAGGCTCATCCAGTGTTAAGAAGGGTTATAGATTTACCTGGGGTGTTCGCATGTTAGTAAAAGAATCAATGCTGAAATTGGCTAAAATGAGCAGAGGAGAAGCATGGTGGGCAGAACCTCAGAATGGGGGCATACAGAGCAGGGCACAGACGGAGTGCACAGCCTGGTTTTTA